TGCGAGAAAACAGAGTAAATTAAGAGGGAAACGTGTATGTTGTGTAATTAGAATGACAGCTATCCCCTTACTAACTAGAAATGCTCTGAGGGGTGACTGGATTACTTTAAAACAACACTTTTTCAAGACTTTTCTGCCAGGAACACCTCGTATCTATTCAACCCACTTCTTACTTAAATAACCACACAAGTGTATCATGCCTGGAGGAAAACTTAGTGCATGTTGGGATTTGCATGTATTTCATGGGAAAAAAAGTAGTGGAAAAGGGAGGAGAGTGAATGAGAAGTAGGTGCATTTGCCTTCAGGACAAAGTTTCTAATTTTTCTCTTTTGATTATGCAATCTAAGCTCTTTTGCATCTTTAAAAACGGTGCTTTGTCACTGATTCCGCTGTCTCTTCAGCAAAAATCTTCCACTTGTGCCAGCATCGACTTCACAGGAAGGCAATAAAGCAACTATTCTTTGCTTTCTTAAGACCCCCCCCCCCCGAAAGAACCCGCTCCTGCCCAAATACCCCCAACCTATGTACCCATATTTAATTTGAAAACCAATCCTGAATTGTATACGATAACTGGGGCCCTTGGGCACAAGTGCCATCTGTACATCAGTCAGACAAAGGTCTTCATTGCTTTGAAGGCTCAGACTAGGGTCTATAGCACAGGCATGGGTGTGGCGAGAAGGGAAGAGAAGCTCACACATGCAGTTGATTTATTTTTTGCCTACCCACAACACAGACAAGCATAACAGATTGAGAGCCATTCTTTACCTCCCTCGCCTTGGTGCAGCAAGGAACTGGGGTCAGAGCTTCCCCACCCTTTCCTTTAAGTCTGATTTTTTTTTTTTTAATATAAAACACCCCTCTCTGTTCCAGTGTCACCCCCTTGATGGCACTCCTGCATCTGACTTGCGTGCAGATACCATGTATACAACAGAGCAGGTCTGGTCTGTGCCTGAGAAAGGACAGTCATTCCTTGAGAAAATGCTGCCCACAGCCCTGCTTTCGCTCTTCCCAAAAGTGATGAAACATGGACCTGCTTCATTCTCTTATCATTGGAGCATCTTACCCTTTGGTTTCTGCATGTTGCTGCATATTACACACCGTGTGTGTTTTACGTTTGAATTTAATTCACGGTAAACTGAGCACACACTAACGCTTTCCCCTTTGTGAGTAACAGAATATAGGTTCTGCTAGAAAAAAGCATCTGAACGCAATAATCACTAATATTTAGTTAACAGCACAACTTACCCTAGGGTTCGGTACTTCAGTACAGCAGGCTAAGTATGTGTTCTGCCAGCTTTTTTTTTTTTTTTAGCTGCACTTGCAATGTATTTCATTGCCTCTCAGGTCCCTCTTTCTCCCCATTTTTGAGCCTGTTTCTTGATGTTCGCTACACCTGAGAGGTACAAGCCTCAGAGGCACCCACCTTCCCGTGAGCTCTGCGGACACAGCCAGCCGTGTTGGGAAGGGATGCAGAAGCGAGCACGTGGCTGGAGGGGAAGGCTGGCAGAACTCAGCTGGTATCTGCTCTCATTAGCAGCATCCAGCGCATCGATCCCTACGTAAGTAGTTCTGGCAAACAAGCCAGAGCGTGTGCCGTCTCCTTCCTTGAGCTAGTGTCAAGGCAAGAACCTCAGGCTCACGTGGGTAGAAGGGCAGAATCCATGGAAAATTAGTATAGAATCACAGAATCATAGAATCATTTAGGTTGGAAAAGAGCTTTAAGATCATCAAGTCCAACCGTTAAGTATCGTTAATTGCTCCTAATTTTAACCCCTCATTCTGCCATTATGACACTTCCCTATTTTTGTAGCCATTTAAATTTTTGCTACATTTACTGAACACCTTAAAAAACTTTTTAGAATCAAAATCTGCAAGTAAACAGAAAAATAAAGGAAAGCACTCAAACGCCAGCAAAAAAGATGCTAGAACTTTAAAAACTTTGCTTTAGATTAAGTAAATCCCCAAACTCGGTAATTTTAATTGCTTTTGACATCAGCTGCTCTAACAGCCATTGCAACTAATAACCAGCTTTTCAAAAGCGTTAGCAACTAACCAGGCGCTGTCACTGGTCAAAGCAGCTCACGGATAAGGCAGGAAGCAAACAGCGTCACACGGCAACTGCTGGTGAAATCCTGACTCTAGGGGCGAGACTGAAGTCTCCTGGACAAGCCTCACCTCCGCACCCCGCTCAGCGCGTACCCGCTCTGCCCCTTTCGGCTCAGCTGTTGGGAATTTACCTTTAGCATCACCAAGCTGGGGCTCTCTAGAAAAGCCATCGAACCTGTTGGCTGTCACTAGGCTGTACTGCGCGGGCTCTCTGCACAGAATTCTGGTCTGAACTGGACCGCGTGTGTTGTAGCTGGCAGCAGTACGCATGCAGAGCAGCGCTTCAGCACCCAGGAGGGAAAATAAATCCAGAACAGCTTTATCAAAGCATTTCAGGGCAAGAAGCACATTCTCCAACCATGGTTATGCTGTATGGTGAAGAATCTCTGGCTTTTTACAGCGTTCCAACATTTTTCATCAAGAAAAAAAAGTCTACCGGCTTCTTGCCACATACAGTGCAAGTATCATAGTAGCACCTTGGTACTGAGGAAAATCACTCCGTGACGAGTTGATGACAAACACGATGGAAATACTTTTTCCATTTCTGTTGCCGACATGAGGCTCTGGGTTTGCTACGGGGCAAAAGCCCTTACGTGAAAACAAGCTGCGGTAACTGGTCTTGCAGATGCCAGTCGCTTGGCTGCAGAGCCTTTCTCCAAAACTACTTCAAGCAGAGCTTTGCATTGCGTCATGGTGTGGACCAGCAGCACCCTCCTCCCATCGGTTTCCTTCTCCCTTCACACCAAACGAGGCCAACAGACAACCACCATGAAAAGGCACGCCAAAAATACAAAGGGTTGAGGATTTTTCCAACAGGGATATCTATATCAATAATAAACGTACGGCCAAAAGTACTCAGAAGGAGCGACATTGTTATCACTTTAAATAGCACCAAGGAAATCTCATTACTGAACAAGAATTTGCAAAGCAGTACCGAAACAAAGCTGTTTAGCCCATCCATTTTCATGTAGTACCTGTGGGTCTTGTCTCATTGTCGTTCGGATGCGTGGCATTTTTTCCATTCCTAGTTTTCAAGATGAGACATTCAGACACCTTTACGCAGGCGGAACACTAGCAAGTCACTCCGACAAACTGACAGAAAATCCAGTTCTAGAAATAAATTCGACTGTTACCTGACTGTTAACTTCAAACTATTTCTGGAGCAATAAAAAGGTACAGAAATGTAGCTGGTTAGACTGACAGGAGACTGACTAGTAGGTTTCTGCAAAAATACTCGATTTTCATACAGACACATCTAAAAAGATAATTTTGGCGAGCGTAATAGCACTCGACGCAGTAGGTTTTCCTGAGAGAACTTGCCACAGACCACAGCCAGGAAAAAGTCAATCGTCTCCTCTGCTTTCTGTTACTACCCTGTAACAAGCTATACAATAAATATTTTAGAACGCTACCCCGTGTTTCTGTACATTGTGGGATGTACAAAGTTCCATGGGATCATGAGTAAGCTTACTGCTTTTGAAGCAAGTCTGTGTGATTTGAAAAAAAAAAAAAAATGTTTGATGCATTGACTAAGGAACAGAAGAGAATAACACTGGTAACGCAAGGGTTCCGTACCTGGATGTTCCTTTACTTCAGAGCCCATGTGCCACAGACAGAATTCAGTTAAATAATAGTCTTAGCAATAAACAATGACAACACACAGAACACGACACAACATCGCCCCTTTGGCTCAAAGTAATTCCAGTTTGTTACTGAACAGTTGTTATGCAAAATCTCCAACACATGGCTGAAAGCAGCAACCTTCACAGCCTGGGGCTGGGAAGGCTAGTAACAAATTGGGAAAGGAAATTTAGATTGCACGTCCCTCGCGTAGTTTTATTTTCTTGTGCAGTGTGAAACAGCATCAGTCTAACTTTGGTATTCACCTGAAGAAGGCTTAGCTGGGAGAGCGGCTGGCAGCTGCTGCTTGTCCAAGGTAAGCTTGCTCTGAAAAGGCGTCAATTCCCAACAGCTCCAAACCAAATAATTTGCTTGAAACAAAACCAAATAATTTGTTTTGAAATTTTTCACATTGCAGTACACCCAAGATACAGTCGTGCGCTTGTAGGCATGCTAATACCAGTAGGAACTGTACCATCATGCTGGGAGGTGATGAGATACCATGGCAAGGGCTGCAGGGAAAGTCAAAACCATTTCTAAAAGGAGCGCTCTGGGAAGATTTGCTTCTAGAGAACTTTCTGTCGCCTGGCCTAGTCACAGCCCTGCCGGTGGTTATCTTTCCCCCTCCTGAAGCAGAGCATTATTTAAGATCATTTTTACAGTAAGAACAACCATCCGCTGGAACAGTCTCTCCAGGGACACAGCAGAGTCCCTGTCACTGGAGGTTTTAAAGATGCAGTTGGAGAGGGTGCTAGGCAGATAATCCCATCTAGGGTCCCTTTCCCAAAAAAGGCTGGACCAGGTCATCTTCCGAGGTCTTTTCCAACCTGGGCTGTTCTATGATTCTATGATTTTGGAGATACTGAGAGACTGAAGAGACATTTCTTTTCCAGGATCACGCAAGTACAAAGAAGTTTTGTGAAGTCAGAAAGGTCTCTATATTATGATCGATTACCTCCATATGGAATTCTTATCAAAAATAGGGAATTATATGTTAAAGGGTTGACTCAATGCACCATGAATGCTACTATCAGTAGTATTAACACAGAGCAGATGTACTCACTCTGCAGCTAAGGCAAAAAGACCTCTTCTTCCCCACTTAAAAGCTTAATCACCATTTACATACGTCTAAACAAACCCCCGATCTTCTAGAAATTCTATATGTAGCACTGTAACCCTCCATGTGTGCATGTATATATATATATATATATGTTTTTAGATGTTAGCCATCTTTTATTTACCGTAACAACTTGACCTAGGACCTCTATACTTGCTTTTTTTCCTTTTTTTTTTTTTTTGGTCCAAAGTACCCTGCCAAAAGATAACGTGCCGTTACCAATTAGGCACCAAACACATGGCGGGGGGTTGGGGAAGAAATTAAATACTTCCAAATACATAAACAATGTATTTCATAAATAAAACCTAGTTCCCTCCTGACCAGTGGGTTTGGTGTGAAGGGGAAGCATTTGTGGCCAGGACAGCTGAGAAGAAATTTAACTGGCTCAAGACAGTGGTGAAATAACCCAGGTGATACAGGGGCATAAAACTGTACTTCTCAGGATACTGGGAGGCTCATAAAATTAAGGATCTCGCAGTACTGTGTGGAAAGGAAGACAGAAGGGGCTAGGGAATGAAAAATTCTCTTTTCCACACTGGTAAAAGGTATTTTCTCTTCCTGGTATGTATCCTTGTCCCATCAAACAGAGGTCCCTCCCACACAGACATTTTACCGGCTCGTTGACATTTACAGAAAAGTAATTCTGCTCCTCTGACACACAAAATCTGTCACAAGAAACCCCTTTCCCAGACACGTCCTGTTGCAACAAAGCTTTACACAGAGCCTGGCATAGCGAGCCTGGACACAGCTATGGCACCAAGAAAACCACTGGAGGTTAATTTTAATACCCAGCCATTTATACTTTGGAAGAATTTGCTGTAGAGATTATAAGGCATCCTTTAGGGGTCAAGTTGTCCACGTTAATACAGAATTTCAAAGCTGAAGTCATTCCTACTCATATTTTTGCTAGTACATCAAACATTTTCATAAATATGATAGGCACAGACAGGATTTTTACAACCATCAATCTGTCTTCACTGTCAAACGCATCAGCTGCTTTATCCTCAGCAAAAAAACTTCAGCACGGTTCTGCGGCTCAGTCTGCTGCCCCAAAGGACCTTGTTCTTCAGCCACAGCTGGAAGGACAGATCTGCCTTTCAGGATTCCAGGCAGCAATTTTTTTTTTTTTTTTTTTTTTTTTAGTTTATTCCTTTTTGATATCAGCTGCTTTTTCTCTGTGGGGAAGATACTATCTTCTTGACATGCAAAAGTCCAGACTGCACATCAATGTATGGAGAATGGAATGAAAGTGTAGTATCAGCAATGATGTATTTGACCCAACCCACTGCTTACATCCCCAACAGTCACGCAAACCATGCCCATTATACACTAGGGCGTACTGCCTCCATGTGGCAGAATATGCTTCGGACATTCTTTTTTCTTCCATTTCACACAACCCTGAGTGGCTATGAATTTTGGAAATAGTTTTGGAAACAGAAGGAGTAGAATCCATACATTACTTCTGTGAGGAAGGGCAAAATGGGGATGAAGAAATTAATGCATCATATTAATAACAGTGTTTTTCACACAAATACTCACCAGGAACACACAGTAAATTACAAAGGCTATATATATATATATGCATATATATATAAAAAGAATGCTTTCTCAAATGTTTATTACACGATGAAAGAAGACTAATTGAAAAAAAATTCACATCCTGAACTTGATCAAAGGGGACTGATTGCTCTCCGGGCCTATTAGCTAAAAGCAAGATTGAAAGAGTTTTGAAAAATTACATAAAACTGTATCACATTCTTTTTTCAGTTTGTAACTGGTTCGATTCAAACTTGACCAGAAGACCACAAAAGTTGCCTTAGCATTAGACCAGCTATCTGATTCAAGTAGCACTAACACTGTGTTATGAGTACAGGTTTTTCCCATGACTAAAATGGAAATACGTTGTGAAATTGGTGTATTTTCTTCCACACCACACTCATCCCCACCCCAAAGCCCCAACCTCCACCTACTTTACCAATGCTGTTAGATACAAGACCTAAAGAAGAGAAGAAACAAGACAATTATTGTTTTGCCCATTTGCGTCTTTACATTTCAGTCTCTACCAGCTGACCACAAGTGCATTCCACCTCACTGTGAACAAGGTCTTCATATGTAATTTCCAGACTGGAAAGAAGTGACATGGTATGGCTGAAAGGGTTTTGTAAATCACCAGTGCCATAATATTTAGGATTTCCCTCCTTTGGTTAAGACATATTATGATGCTCCTCTCAAATCTCAATCTTACTGCACAACATACACAGTGCAAGGGGGTGTTCAATTTATGGAGAGATTTTTTTTCCTTTTTCTCTTTTTTTTTTTTTTTGAGACAGTGCAAGGTCTAGAGACAGCGTGAGAATTTTAAGATTAGGGTGTTGCAGGGTGCTATGCCAATTTTAGCTTACATTTCACTGTATAAACATTTTCCTGTCTCTGTTTGGTATCCAGCAAACAATCCTATTAGAAATTTTCCAAACGTCCGTGTGTTTTTTCTCTAAGTACTGTCCATTTCAAAACTTTGCAAAGTATAAATTAGTAGCTATACATCTGTTGTTGTTGCTCTGTTTGAACCGGTTGCTGTCCTGACTGCTGTTGTGTTGGCTGTGCCTGGGGCTGCAAGACATCAGTCTGAGGCACTGACCTCCACGTCAGAGGATGCTGTTCCGTTATCTGGTTCCCTAAAGGAGCAATGGAGTTCACCAAGGTGGTCAGGTTTATAAAATGGGCCACAGACTGAGGATTGGCTGCCTCTGGTTGCGGCTGGATCTGAATGTCATTTTGGCGGTTGTGCAGCATGGCAGAACCACTGACGGTGTCAAACGTCACAGTGAGAATTGAGTTGTCCAGCTGTAACTGGCGTTCAGGTGCAGTCAGATGGCCCACAGCCACTGGCTGGAGGTTTGTGAATTGGGTTCCAGCTGCTGTCGTAATGGGGGTAACAGTGATATTTGTCAGCCCGACAGAACTGGAAGGGGCTGTGACATTTGGGTCGCCAAGGGTCACCACCACCTGAGAAAAAACAGAAAGGTCACCTGAACCTTGTATCTTGCAGCTGACTAGCAAATATCAAGCCTCAAGAAAGATCACCTGAGTGCTGATGGGCTCACGTGTTGCTACTGCCAGCAAGAGAAGTCATACACACAGAAGGGAACACAGAAAGCTTGGAACATAACAACTTCCACATATAGAAATAAGAAGGTAATGGGAAGGAGGCATATGCAACAAGCAGCCGAATTAACTTTCACACTTTCAGTCACAGCTTCAGCGAGTTAGTGGTATCTGGCAAACAAGGAGATGGTCACACCAAAGGAAATGAAAACAAGCATGAGGAGTTCACTGGTCCAACTCCTTTTTAAGACTCTATTCATCTTTATAGCACCACAATTTATCAATTTAGCTCTAAATGTTCCGATCGCCCTTTTCTGTTTGCTATTAGGAAAAAGGAAGGGTTAACCCTCTAAGGAATGCCTGCTACCCATCACCCTTCTACTGGAGCTCACCTGCTGGATGCTCTGTACAGCTGAATTTGTCTCATCTCCAACATTCCCTGTGAATTCACCTTCCTTCTCTGTGTATTCACTGAAGGCAGGGTCCTCAGGCACTTGAGCTTCCTCCTCCTCACCTGACTTTTGTTTTCGTTTCTGGCCACGTTTAGGAGCTTTCATATGCTGTTTCCCTTCTGGTAATTCTCCCTGTTCCAAGGCTAATTCCGGCTAGAGCAACACATTTCCAAAGAAAACATCAGGTCATTTTGCCTAGTGTAGTTCCAAGTAAGAGACTAACACCTGAAGTTGGTTTACTGTTGATTCTCAAGTGAAGAAACAAACATTAGCAAAAACCTGATTTCAGGGAATGAGACCTCACCTTATAATTACCTCTGTTTTACCAGCACCCATGCTATGCAACAGATCAGCTTGCATCTGCTTACACCTGTGAAGCTGGGGCTGACTCTCTAAAAAAGCACATTCCTTGCCCATCAGCCTAGATCCAGCTATGTCATGGACCAAAAAAAGTGAGGTCCTCACCTCACCCTCCAGTAGGCCTGCAACCTAGCTGCCACCAGAATTCTGCAATGATGAATTTACCTGAACAATCCCAATTGAGGAGGCATCAATGGTAGTCGTCTCTGGCAGCTGCTCTAAGTCATCAATCCTCACCGAAAGAATCTGTAGACAAAGAGGTATCAGTTGGTGGACTGCAGCAGTGCATACCACAGTCAAACAACACATCATTGCCCTCATAAATCCTGTCACAGAGCAGAAAGGATGTAATCTAACATTTTACACATACCATTTAGTACAAGGGATTTAACCGGGGCTATTCTTAAAATAACCTTTTGGCATATAACCTTTTCCTTATTCCTGAAAACCAGCGAAGTTTAAAGACAACAGTAGAAGAATATGTTTGTTTTCATATTCTAGACAGAACACAACCCACTGGGAAGTGATGACTTCTATAGAAGACAAACTGTATTTGAAAAAAACCCTATTATTTTAGCATTTCTATTTATAAACCTATCAACTGTGTCCTACTCCATTATTTTCAGCCGAATCTATACATCTCAGCTCATCAAAGAACAGAGAAATTGCCCTCTGGATTGCAGATATATAGCTGCTTTTCTCATCCAAAAATCAATAGACAAAGGTTTTTGTTGACTTCCTTCCCAGTCATCATGATAAAAAAACGTTTACGGCAAAGCAATACTAATGATAAACTGGTAGTAAAAAAAAAAGCCTTAAAGAGAACGGACAAGCCTTAGACAACCTAAACAAGAAATGCTGAGGAGAAACACAATAGTTATTCAGAAATTTTGAACACAGAAAAGGCCCCATTGGGGTCAGACAAAACATCCCTCTAATCCAGATTCTCTGCAGTCAGCATTCATCTTTGATACTAAGAATAATTTTGTATTGTCAGCAGATGTTGCCGTCACCTCTCTATTCACCACTTCTTTCAGATCACTTCTGAATACAGAGAACGCAATGGGGAAAAAAGAATCAATTATATTCACTAATGGATGAAGACAAAACATGAAAAAATACACATTTAAGCTGCAGCAGAAAAATAAAAGGGATTTGAATTATCAGGAGGACTTAAATTTTAAGGGCTGACAATCAGATATGTTTACTACTGAAACATAACATAATGTAAGGGCTGATTCAGTTAAGCACATGCGTAAGACACTACCTAAAATTAGCCCCAAAAGAACAGGAAAAAAGAGAGAGAGAAAAAAAGGTAATTCCTTTCAAGTCTCTGAAGGCCATAAACTTTCTTTACCAGAAAAAAAAAAAAAAAGTAAAAAAACCCCAGCGACCCGGACCACCCCACAATCTACCTGCCAAACTCACTCACCTCTGGATGTTTACGCCTCATATGTCGACTCATGGATGCTCTGGTAGAAACCTTTGTCCCACACAACTGACAGCTCTGGGCTTCCACCTTATCATGAGTGAGCTGGATGTGCTTCTGCAGCATGTAATCAGTGACATATTTCTTATCACATACTGAACATGTCCACTGTTTTCCTACTGGTGGCAGATGGAAGGAAATGCTGTTAGCAACAGCCCCCAAAGATGAGTATCATATTGTCAGCATCTCAACAAGAGAAACAATTTTATGTTGGTAACATGATGTGTAATGCTAGTTCCAAGACTGGCAAGCCTAAAGCAAGCCTAGGAACAGAATTAAGATATTGTCTTTGGCTGCTGTTTTTTAGAGGATTTACCTGTATGAATCAACTTATGAGTCTCCATTGTATTTCTCTCACTAAACGTCTTGCCACAGAGCTCACACATGAAATCTTTGATTCCTGCATGAAGAGCACATTGAGTGTCAGAGTGAAAACGGTCTAAGGTATCTGGGACAATTCTGAGTCTCATATTACTAAAAAAAACAAGTAGAAGAAGCCCAGCTTCACCAGCTATTTTTATCTAAGCCATGCCACAATATCTGGAAGAAAATGTATCCAAGTGAAATTGATGCGGGAGGTAAAATTTTCTTTTGGGAAATGAGAACCAAAAGAGTTAAACAAACCCAACACTCCAGACCAAAACAACTTCTCTTAAAAAAGTAAAAAGTGAAACCAACTAAATTGTATATCTTAATTGTATAATAGGTGGTTCTGGCTGATGAGAGGACAAAACCTCACTTTTCAAAAAGCAGAATACCCTTTTTTTTTTATTTTACTAGTGTTCCTCATACTCTCTGACTGTTCTAGACAAGAGTTCTCTCAGGAATCATTTAACTGATTCAGTGCAACTCTTGCACATATTTAGAGACCTCACCTGTGTGTCTTTTGTAATGCTTCAGCATGTTGACTTTCTGTGCGAATTTTCGGTGACATTCTTTGCATTCGTATTCTTTAATCCCTTTGTGAAGTTTCATGTGGTGACGAAGCGCATGTTTTGTTTTCATTCCTGAGAGACAAGAGGTACAACATGACAATTAGTCCATTGCTCCCAACTTCGGAGGAGAACTCAGGATGACCATGTTGTTAGCCAGCCAAGAGCTCTATGATTATATTTGCTGTGTGTCCACAATTGCCTATTTTTAATTGTTTAGGTAGCAGTACACATTATCATTATTTTAATTCCAGGAAAAAGATCTGGAAAACATTTGAGTAACCACCGAGGAAGAAGCAAAACAGCAGGGACAAGCAAAGACAAAACATCTTTAGATATGTCAGACTTACTGCCTTCCACTAAAGTACCAGTTCAGATTTGTTCAAGTTAAAATGTGAACAATTCAAAAAGTCAAAGGAACTTTGACTCTTAAGGCTCTTACAGAGGGAAATTACTCTCTCTCTTAAGCCTGAAAACATCCTAGAATAAAAAAATTAACTTCTATTCACTTTTGTGAGGCAAATGCATTGGAACTCAGTCAGGCCAGCACTCTTCAATCTGACAGAAACAAATTTTATGAAAATCAGATTTGTCTTACAGACCACGGAATTAAATTGTATAAATTAGGGGTATTTTATGTAACCGTAAGGCTCCAGTTTCTACCTCTGAAAAATGCAGGATTTACAGCACTCCAAGGACTGTCCCAATATTCTAAGAATGGAAGTAGTTTTAATTCAGATATTCACCTGCTATTCAGTATCACAATTAATGGAAAACAAGGCATTAGACATACCTTTGCCACATTCTGCACACAAGTATTCTCGGATATTATCATGGACTCGCATATGTTCTTTTAACATGTCTTTTCTAGCAAATGATTTGCCACATTGCTCACAAGCATGACTTTTTACACCTTAAAAATAAATTTAAAAGACAACATAAACAAAAAAATGTTAATGAAAAATGTGCATCTCCTAAAAACTGACTAAACTGGTGAGTTAGAGGGCAAAAGTCCACCTGCGTTGTCAATCACATCTTTCATGCATATTGTAGCCCAGACTAAATGAGAAGACTTTGGAGAGAGAGAAAGCTGGCTTTTTGTGTAAGATCTGAAAAAAAAAGATAAAGCCTGAGGTAGGAAAATACTGAATAGCATGAAATAATAATGAGCTGTTAAAAATGATTTTGCAATAGCAGTTTTCAGCCTGTGTAATGGTGAGAAGGTGGCATGGATAAGAATTTGGGGAAGAACAGAATACAGAATTAGGATTTTTAGTAGGTGAATCCTGCATCATATCAACTAGGAATCTGGATTGTGTGCCTAGACCAAATATCTTCATTAATACCACCTGCTTTAGAAAACTGGTGTCCCCTAAAAGCATAAATATAACACTTATCTTACTATAACTTTTAGAAAAAAACCCATAACTTATTTCCTCCTGAAAAACGTAAGGCAGGCATTGGCAACAGACATTTCTTTTTAATATTGATGATAACAAAGAAACACAACATTTTTACCTGTATGTATAAGCTTATGTCTTTCCAGATTTCCTATACTGTTAAAAATCCTTCCACAGATTTCACATGGATGGATGTATCTGAAACCAGAGAGACCAAAAACTGTGATTCTTTTCTTGAGACAGAGCTGGTTTTCAGGCATCTCTGTCACTAACTGTGTTTCATTTGGTAATACTAATTACTACAGAAGTTAATTGAAATGTAAATGCATTTTTAAAATGAGCCTTAAGAAACCCGTAAGTTCCCTCCAAGCTTGGAGCAGTCTGGCATTGCTACATCCTCAAATCATAGTTTTTAAAAAACATTTACCAAAATCATAGATTTATACTTTCCAAAGCCCAAACTGGGAGGCTGTTGACTAATCATCTGTATGAAGTGAATCACGAGCGATAGATATTTCAAGCTTTTAATAAATCTTTTAACACCCATTATCCAGTTTCAGATTTTTTAGTATAGGCCAATTCTATAAAAGCGTCAGGTGGCAGAGCCACTGTAACTTCAACAAGATAGCTCCTCTTATCAGTCCAACACGTCATCTTACTTCTGCACATTAGGGTCAGGCAGGTTCTCTCGATGAATGACCATGTGTGCATGGTAAGTTGCCTTCAAGGCAAAACGTCGGTTACAAATGCTACAGCCATAGCCTTTCTCCTTGTGCACGTCCATTATGTGCTTCAGGTACTCCTTCCCTCTGCCGAAAGTCAACTGTGGAATGAACCAATAGTGAATGAAAGGGGAAAAAAGTCCTCGGGAACAGCAATGATCTAGTAACACATTACCGGCATCTAGAGTCAGAGCTAGTAGACATAAATATCCTGTGTATCACTAGATGAAAAATCTGTGAAAGCTGGATTTAGGCCTGAGCTTCTTTGGCCATTACAAGGAAGTTGCTACAGGACATCAGTTAGCTCATGTGGAAAACTAGCTTGAGACGGTATCCCTGCTTCTTACACTGCACAAGTAGAGGACCTCCAATTATCTGTGCACTGAGGCACAGCCTTGAAGAGAGCCACATCTAACCTCCACTAGCTATCAAAGCAAGGATGCCACAGATGGAAAAAAAAAAATCTTTGGGGCTCTAGGGGCTTGGTAAGCTCTAGTCTGCATAGTGAGCTTTAACACTAGCTCCAGAAGAGTTGGTATTTGGAGGCACTGCAGGGCAGTGATTCTATCTCAGCTCCTGGAAGTGCTACAATAGACGGGTGCTCCACTACTTAGCTCCCTGGGCTAAGTAACCCTGCATATAGCATATATGCTCCGACATATCAGGGCAAAGTGCTATAATGACATTATCTTCTGCTCCAATTTTGGAACTAGTCGGGGTATTTCTGATCTGCACAGTTTGGTGAAGGTGTACTTTGGGAAGAGAGAGAGAGATATTCTTCATAGCTCAGAAGAGGTATTTCGCTAAGACTTGTTCATATGTTCTCCCTTAGGAATGCGTGAACAGGTATTTTCAACCAAAACCAGCCTTCCCGTGACATCACAGGTAACGCTCGTTTTCCACAGCTGTTGCCTTACACAACTGTTCACTTCACAAACACCTACAAAAGCACTAAAAGAGCTTTCTAATTTGAATAGCACAATTGCCCTCATTTGAAAGCGTACAATTTTATACGTATCAGATGTTAGAATTACCACACTGAAAGCAAGCACGCGATGAACTGCTGTGATACCACATCTTCTTATGCTTACTGACATTAACTTAAAATCAGTTTGCACTTAAAACCAGTTCACAGATAAGAACAGAAAACTGAAGTATCATCATCTCCATGTCTTTGAAATGAAGATAAGCTAAGCACTTTCACTGCATTAAGTGTAGACTATGAAATAAGCTCTGATTTCCAAGGACGAAGTCAATGGCTTAACTACCAAAATTCTGCTGCCCCTGTCAGTTTGGCCAGTTTTGCTGTTCTCACTGATTGCTTTTGCATCCCACCCACACCAGCACAGCATGCCTGCCCAGTGAGGGCACAGAATCCAAACGAGCCTTAAGGACCCCATTCTTCCCCATCACTTCATTACAAAATGGCAAAAGCCATGCAGTAAGATCTTTAAAAAGCCTTCCTCTCTCAGCTCAGAACCAAGTAAAGTATGTTCCAGCGGTACTTCTAATGCCATCCCGTTAGTAATAGAGCAGGGCAAGAATAAGCAGTCACACTGAACATAAGCAGCACTCTTCACCCTCCAAACTGGATATCCACTAGAGAACCATCTAATCTCATCAAAATTAATCAACTTGTGGACTGTATAATTCAGCAATACTGTAACAATTTTAATTTGTATATGATTAAAAGGTAGAGTAAGATTTGAATGTTCCTTTATTGTTTCTTCCTCCAGTTTTGCTTGCTTGCTTCATTGCACACAGGTAAGCGTATGTATGCGGATTTCTCTCTGTAAGTGTTCCGCATTCACCTTACAGAACACCACCTAAAGTCTTATGGAATAGCATCGCTTCATAGATTAGTGGTAACAAGCACTGCAGAAGCAAGCAGACCTGTGGACTGGCCTTCTCTTTGTGAACCCTTAAGTTATTTAAAATTCTAAATGATTTATAGACATCTCCACTCCCTCCCCCTGTCCCAAGACAAGTTAATTTGAAAGTATTTAAAGCTACCTGGCACCTTTTGCAGCTATACTTGTGAGGCTCAGAATCTGCACTTTCATCAGAGTTGTCATCGTTTTCCTCTGATGAGATTCCAATTTTACCAATGAACTCTTCTCTCTGGTGATCATCCATTAGTGCTATGTCCTGTGTAGGGTGGGAGAGAATATTCTGTTTTAATAGATTAAACTTCTTTTCCAAAAGTAACACCTAGTCAGCTTTTGTTGCCATGCAGACTTGCATTAACAATTGCCGTAACATTATTTATTTAAGACATCCTCCTGCTTCAGTCAATTCAGGTAAACAAAGTTCCTCTGTCCATAACTAAACAAGGAATATCTGTTTATCCAAACAAGTAATACTCATTTTTTTGTGTATAAAAGGAACTTTAATGTAAACAGAGACTCAACTGGTACAGTATTACATCCATAAAAGCATCTTTATGAGCACCACTGAATGATACAATTGCCTTTCAATTCAATTCCTTACAATTCAGTCTTCACCTAGTTACATCAAAATAGTCTGGGTCTCATTAAGCACTATTAACGGGGGTTTTTTTGTGAGTTGGAACATTTTGATAAAACCAGGTAAGGAACTCAATGCACAGGCAGTCATGCTGGCATATACAAGAGAATCACAATCACTGGCATGGAAAAGGCAGGAAGAGTTACTTCTCTTGTTTGTTTTTTTCCCCACAAAGAGAGGGGATGACAGTAACCCCTCAGCCCAACCAAACTACAGCTGGAACAATACATCTGTCTGCAGCCTTCCTGTTAAGCTATTCTCCCTGCTTTAAATTGAGCAACCTCTGCGATTCACCCAAGGTCACAGAGGTGGTTTTTCCATAGCGTTCAGAACAGCATTCTGCAGTGGTAGCTGAAATAACTTCAGATATGATTGTCCACATACTCTGTAGCAATCCAGATGCAGAAACAGAGCCATGGGTAAATCAGACCACAACTCATGCTAGGCTGCTGTAGAATCATCACTGCACAGCGTACATAATCACTGTTGCGTTGCCAGTATGAACACATAGCTGCAACAGTCTCAAAATATCTATCGGTAAGTCTATGTGTCTGCTAAGTAACATGCCTTTTCTAATAAATTGTTAACACAGTACCTTAAAATGGACATGAATATGATCTCTCAACACATCCACTCTGAAAAATTTACGTCCACAGATTTCACAAGTGTATTTCTTGTCTCCATGTGTTAAAAGGTGTTTGTTCATATTGCTCCTACATGAAAATACCTAAAAGAAAAGGAAGGAAGAGGTTTTTTTAATCATGTCCAGCAGGGCTACACTTCTTTGCAAGTTATCCAATGGATAGCACAGAACATATTTCCTGTCCTGTTTTATTCATTCTGGCCAGAAACATGTTGGAGCTCCTGTTATCCAGCCAGCAGGCTACCTCAGAAATACCTGGCACAGCAAAATACAGGTGCACAGTTCCAAGGAACTGACTGAAATGGGCCATTCATCAGAGGCGGACTTCTAAAAAAGCTGCAGCAGAATTACATAGGGTAGATGTAGAAATATTTAGACAGCGTCTTTTGAATCATGAATGTTCCACCTATCTATAAAAAGACACCTCCAAAAATCTACCTTCATTGATACGTAACATATCCAGAGGATCAAAAACAAAGGTCTACACACCAACATAAGAGTTGCTCAAGTACATCTTGCACCATGAATCATTAATAATTTATAAAATCACTAGTTAAACCCACAGCAACTTAAGATCATGAACATTAAATGCCCAAATCCTACAGTGCCATGACTACACCATGAATTCACTTTGATTTCTAATAGAAAATTATGCACAGAGTCAACTCCAGCTGTTTACATTCCGGTAGAAAAACTTCACTCTAAATAACAGAAGCCATGAGGTTTCACTGATAGACACAGTGACCACGTTACACTCCACATTGTGGTACGTGTCCTGAAAAAAAAGTCTAGTCTGAACTTCAGTTTTGTTCTTATCTTTGTCAGATAGCTGACACCTATCAGCTCTGACTGCCCATGGCCACAGTGGGCTTGGATATATAATGGAGCTAAGGCAGTTTAGAAAGTAATGTCTTGGCTGGGCAACGGGGCTCTCTGGTAACTAACCACGTGCCTGTTGAGTTGCGAGGTAACCTGACTTGGCACGTACCTCAGTGCAAGTCATTTACCTTGCCCTTTGGGCAGGCTGTCTGCCTATTCGGGTAGGCTGCTGCTACTGTGGTTTAATACACAGGTGGTAACTTGTTATGCCACAGTAACTCGTTTGGAGGCGCTGGGTTGAGGCACACCGTACCTCTGCAGTATCCTTGGAGCTACAATGCAGAGCTTCACACGGCACACGCTGACAAAGACGCCTACCTTCCCGCACACGGGGCATCCTGAAGGCTCCTTCTTGTAGCGAACCATGTTTTCCGTGCTGTGCTCAAAGTCTTCTCTTTTCACACGCCTCACCCCTTAACAGAACAGTCCCCATCAAAAAAACCCAAAAAAACAATAAAAAAAACCCCAACAACATGGTTTTCCACTCCAATCTGCATGCCCTTTCAGGTGAATACTGCAAAGAAGAGTGAAACACTGGGAAGAGCCTCAATGCAGAATTTAACTGCTAACAAAAGGATAATTTCTAAATTAAAACGGTGTCTTAAGAATATAAAAGCAGTCTGCCAAAGTGATGTATCATGGCTTATCGGTTATTACACCAATAGTAAAGTGCCTGAAAACAGACATTTATTGTCAACACCTGGAAACAGGCAGATCTAGTAGGCCTTGGCATTTTGATCAGATATCTGGCCCAGAAATTCCCCCTCACAGTCTCCAAGGAGAGACGCAATCATCCAGCATCATCTTTAATGCTCCATGAGGAATTCAGACCTC